ACTTTCGTCTTCCTCAAGAAGGCCAGCGAAAACCTGTTTGACGTCAAGGTCAGCCCCTTCTTTCATTCATTCAACGATGTCTGCATAGCGACTGATAATGCATTGGTTGTGTCGACACATGTCGTGTATGCAGGGAAACATCATCCGCGTGGTGTGCTGTCTGTTCACGGCGACGATCGCCTTCTTCGTCCCCTTCTTCGGCCTCATCTCGGGCCTCATCGGCGCCCTGGGCTCGTCGTTCCTGGCCTTCATCCTTCCAGGTACGACGCTTGATGTTAATGATGATTTGATGAAGACTTGTCAGTCTTCTTCTTCTTCTTCTTCTTCTTCACTCACACACTCACTCGTGGCTGTGCACAGTGATCTTCCACTTGAAGCTGTTCCATCGCACCTTGTCCTGGTGGGTGATCGCCAAGGACGTAATCATCCTCCTCTTCGGCTCCGCGGCGCTCATCGTCGGCACCATCTTCGCCGTGCGCGACATCATCAATGCCCTCATCTAACCATGACGCGCCACAACTCATATACATTTTTTTCCAAACCTTTACCAACATGACCGCTAATGTGCTCCCCAACACATACTTCACCACCCAAGACATTATGATGTCGACACAAGGCAATGTGCTCTGTCCCATAACAATTGCGAATGGGACAGAGTACAAGTGGGCAGCCGTGTCAAGAGGCAAAGCATACGTACCTTGCTGGAAAGGTCTGCGATCACGAAGGCGGACCTTTTAGACACTACCCCCTTCCATTGCACGTCGGTTGTGCGTGGTAGTGGCTACTGCTGCCCCACGGGGTAAGCAGACAGCATAATTTGTGGTCGAGTGGATGGTGCGCTCGTCGCCTGTCCACGCCCCCTTCAACCAATAACCAAATCATCCGGCAAAGTAAAGGGAGAACTTCAGCCTCCCCCCTCCAACGCCACTACTTCTCCAATTTGGCGTGTTACGGCGCACAACAGAGGCAACTTTTCAAACCGAACGGTGCCCACCCAAACACGGAATTTTGGAATTTGTTCTTTCAGTTTCGCGTTGCTGACCAAGGACAAAAATGTGGGGTATGCCGCAAAAATCGAGATAATGATTGTTTTTTGCAAGAATGCTAGGCACGAGAGGGACAAAAGGCGCGAATGGAAATAAAACAGATGTCCGCCAGCTTGCGTTTTGTCTTTGCTACGATGAAGTTGTCCGCCCTTCCCGAGAAGCTAGGCTCAAAATCTCCACACAAAACTTCACCGGGCGGCAGCACTAGGCCTAGCAGGTCCTCGCCCAGATTCGGAACACGCCACTTCATAAATAAGCAACGCCCAATCGACAAGAACGCAACCCCCTTCGACCAGATTCCTCGTCCCCTGCTACCGCTGTGCCACTGGCTCGTGGTGCCATCTACAACGATTCCAGACTCGACTGTATCCACCGCATACCGCCACCTTGCAATTGACATCGCCCTAATTGCTCTTTTCCTGTAAACAGATGCACGATGTGAGCGCCGATCTTGCGACCTACTTGCGAGAACACGCGAAAACTGACCGTGTAGGGTCCCAATACTATTTGGAGCATCGACACAGGCGAGCGAGCAAGGTACCTGGCTGCCACGTTGTTCCTTCAATGATTCATTGATGTTAATCGCAGGGTGTCGAGGACGTAGCCGACTCCGACTCGGAGCCCGAGCCTGAGGCCGAGCCTGAGGCAAAGCCGTGGCCAATTGTCACCCTCAACCAGACTTGGGAGGATCACTATCGCCGAATGTTGACCTTGATCTACCCTCTGGTGCATCTTCCACGTTGGTGCTTGCCTTGTGTGACGCTTTATTGATCTATTTTTTGGTATTCCAACAGGCCGCCGAACTTGGAGCTGCGGGCATGCTGGCTACTGGATCCACATGGCGCAGCTATGTGTACGCCTCGAGTGAATTGCTGCTCCTTAGCAACCCTCTCCTTACTGTCGAAAGGTACCGGCAAACACAATCATCCGTTGCTTCTCCTCTTGACTCACAACCCACTTCAGCAATTCTGAAGTCAGGGCGAGACCGTGGAAGCTCTCGCCAGCGTGGTTGGAGTACGCCCGCCCGGACGCAACCCTTGGCCTAAAGGTAATCGAGGAGCGTGCTGACACGGCAGCCTGCGCCACTGGACGGATTTGGTTGAGCTTCGCCGACATGGAGGAAAAACGAAGCAGTGAAGACAACACAGACGAGTACAAATCTCCCTGCCCCTCCTTTATGCTCAATGCTGATTTGCTCTGGTCTGGTCGTGGTTGTAGAGCCAAGCTGCTTGTGATCATGGGGATCAGGCTTTGGCACCTGGCCAAATCCATCCCAGTTAAGGGTGTCTTCGACATCATGGACAACGGCGTACCTCTGCCCGTCTCGGTTGGTGTCCTTCGAAGCGCAGTGCATTGGTGCGTTTACTTCATGTGGCGGGAAGTCGACTTCAAGGCCCAGAAGCTCGTCTACAAATGGTCGCGGCTTCACGAAGGCTTAAGTTTGGCGATGCCGGAGGGCTTCCTGCACTACACCACTTTCATGTGGCGCCTGTCCGTGTATGGTGACCTCTTCGCTCGTGCTGTCCGCAAGCAACTTCGCGTACGGTTCCTTACCTTGCCTTCCATCCCTATCAAGCTGATTGAGCGAGCGTTGTGTTTTCTTCACCATTAGGCCATGAGAGAAGACAAGTCCATCAACGAGCAGCACGAACAAAGTGAGGATGAAGATGAGGAGGAGGAGGAGGAGGATAAGGAGGAGGAGGATAAGGAAGAGGAGGAGGAGCACAAAGTACGTTGTGCGTGTTCTTGTGGGATGCGTGTACGGGAGCGCCCTAATGATCTCTGACCCATTGCAGAGCGCGAGCGACCGCTCCGGCAGCTCCGGCAGTTCTGGAAGCTCCGGAAGCAGCAAGGACCAGCACGACAGGAACACCAGTGGCGAACCCACGACTGATTTAACGGATGCGATTCTCCTGTCCAAGGTTCGTCCATGGCCGTCCATCTTAACTGTGTTTGACTACTGACTGTGTTTACCCTCCAGGGCAGCGGAGTACAAGTAGTGTTGGGCAGGACACGTGGCAGTGGAGAAATCCTTGTGCGCAAGACGATGGAAACGTTCGAGCCCTTCATCGACATCAACAACAACAACGAGTTCAAGGCCTACAAGCTCCTGCAAGGCAAAGGTATGAAAGAGCACACTAAACTACTTCGCGTTGGTTGTTAACAACTGCCAACGTCCTGTGTGCATGTTCAGGTCTGGCGCCCAGGCTCCTTGGCCATCGCTCATTTGGCGAGTACTACTTTGAGCTTGACCTGGAGTACCTACCACCATACACCATCAAACCAACCGACAGGAGTGAGATGCAGACCTTCGCACGTGGGTTGCTCCAGGTAATCCCGACTTCGGTGGTGCGCTCGATGTGGTACCAGCTAACAGTAGTTTTTGTTGCATTTGTGCATCACACGAAAATCACCAACCGTCAGGCGCTCGCGAGGATTCACGAACTCGGCCTTATTCATCTGGACATCAAAGCAGGTAGGGCGTCCTCCCAGATAATGGCTGCTGCACTGTGTCCCCACCTAACCCGCTTCTCAAAAACTACCTAGACAACATCATCACCTCACGAGTTGATGGAGAGGGTGCGCACCATCATCGACCACTCCTGTCTGGTCCGGCGCTGGCCACTGATTTTTCCCTCCAGGTTTGCAGGTCAAGTTGATCGATTTCGAATTCAGTCTCTCGCCAGGAAGCAGCACGGACGACGTGGTATGCTGTGGCACGCCAGGGTATCGCGCTCCTGAGTGCGCACAAGCTGCGCGCGACCAAGACTACACAGTGAGCTCCTACACCTTTGCTATCATGTTCCGTGCGGCAGGCCTTGTGCTCCTGGAGGAGCTGCTGGACATTCAGTATCTCTACGAACATCAGCGGGAGAGCGAGGCGCTGACTGCCTACCTGGCACAGCTGATGGCTGAGGGCTTGTCACACAAGGAGCGATGCGACCGCCTTGCGAGCAAACTGAAAGCCATGAGGTTGAAATGGTTCGAGACCTTCTCTTACTTCCAGTTGTCTGCCAGCCGCTTATCTCTTACTTCGCAAGTGTTGCGCGGTTATCCGTCTGCAGCGGCAAGCGGCCACCGGTTGTGCTGCTGGGTGAGGAAGCCGGCGCCATGGCGCTGGACCTTGTACACAAGCTCACGCAGCACTCGGTCCCTGCTCGCTACACTGCCGCACAGGCTCTCTCACATCCCTTCGTCGCCCGCGCAGGCGCGCATCGTTGTATTTCCCTTTGAGTCCGACATGTACATTACATCACGACCTTGATCTGCATTCATGACAACAAGCCATAAGAGTGCACTAAGTTACATTTTATGGCGCTGGACCTCTTGCGCGAACTTACACATCACTTGCTCTCAAAATGGTATCTGTTATATACTCAAAAATTCATACAGCACAAGATGGACGCACCAACGATTGTGCCCTCGTTTGCCAGTGCCGCACTGCCCTTTGCGCCGTTCTGCACTCTGTGGATTCCATCTTCTGCACGTCTGCTGGCACTGGGCTGCCGGCAAGACGGGAGTGCATCGCTGGGGGCTCTCCACCTCTACAAGCTGGAGATGCCGGCAGACTCTGGGCAACTGCGACTCCTGCTGGACGCCGCCAAGCAGGCCGGAGGGAAGACGACCACTGGCCTTAGTCGGGCGGGCCTGAAATGCGGCACCTTCGATCTCAGCACACCAAGCGGGCGGCTCCTCGCGGTAGGCGATTTCGAGGGGCGCGTGAGCGTGTGGGACGTCGAGCGTCTGCAAGGGGAGCGCCCCTTGCAGACGCTCTTCACAATAGAGGGCGGCCACGATCAAATCGTCAACTCGATCGACGCTACTCCACATCTCCTTCTCACCGGTACGCACTACGTTCTCATTAATCAAGTACATAATTATCAGAATAATAATAATAAGAACAATAATAGTAATAATGTGCATAACCAGGGAGCAGGGATGGCAGGG